TATGGTCCTAAAAGATCTTAGAACCATAAGACATTTGGGTTGGAAGAGTCCATCAAGGTCATCAAACCATAGGATGGTTGAGTTGGAGGGGTCCTAAAAGATCACAGAACCATTGAAGGGTTGGAAGACCCCTTGAAGATCATATAGAGCCATGTAATCATAGCATGGCTTGGGTTGGACCCCATGGCTCTAAGGACCCCCCCAAACCCCACTCCTGCCCTGGGCTGTTCCCTCCCCTCCATCAGACCAGGGCCCCATCCATGGACTTGAGTACCACCAGTCATGGGGCACCCACACATCTCAGGGCAGCAGTGCTAGGGTCTCACCATCTTTTGAGTAAAGAATTTCCTTCCCACTTTCCCCCTTTTATCTTAAACCTCACTTTCCCCCTTTTATCTTAAACCCAATTTCCCTTGTCCTGTCACTATCAGATAAAGTAGTATTTCAGCTCAGAGGTGTGTGTCTCTTTTCAATCCCAAACCAGCACTTAGAGCTTTATGGGTTTGTTAAATCTAAAGGCATCCTCTGCTGTAAAAGTCCCAGTAGAACCTACTGTTGGAGAGCTGGGGGAGGCAGCATGGTTTACCCTTTGCAGAACCCATCCTGGGCACTCACCCTGGACTGGTACCAGGACTCAGCCTCCTCCCGGCTGCGCTTGGCGATGTCCTCGTACTGCGCCTTCACCTCAGCAATGATGCTGTCCATGTCCAGCCTGCGGTTGTTGTCCATGGTCAGGATGACGGAGGTGTCGGAGATCTGGCTCTGCAGCTGAGACAGCTCCTGCCAAAGCAGTGGGGGTTGTGTGAGTCACTACAGGGCACATCTCTTGTTCCAGGCCCCAGTGAAGGACAGAGCTGTGTTTACAAAGCGATTTTTCTTCCATGAATCTTCTAGGAAGGGCTACTACAGCAGGCGAGATGGAATAAGTGTGGAGGTACGTAGTACAACAGAGTGGAAAATAATCCATCCCGAGCTACAGAGGTGGGAAAAGGAAGCAAAGGTGCTCAAAAATGGGCAGGACATGAAGGTCCTGGGAAGGTGCTTACAGCTTCATAGAGGGCTCTGAGGAAGTCTATCTCCTCCAGGAGGGCATCTCGCCTGGCTTGCAGCTCTGTCTTGGTCATATAGGTAGAATCCACCTCCTAGGGGAAGAAGCACAGCACAGGAATGGAGCTGTTTCCAGAGGAGAAGCTGCAGTGTTTCTTGCAGCAGCTGAGCAGCAGCGGGAGGTGCAGCATGCATGCACCCACCTTCTTCAGAATCACAAACTCATTCTCGGCAGCTGTGCGCTTGTTGATCTCCTCTTCATATCTGTGGGATGGACATGGAGGGTTGCTATGGGCTTATGCAGAAGTTTTGTGTTTGTAGGACCTGGCTCAACTTTCTTTAGAGGAACAGCTTGGTACTTTGGTCTCCTAGCCCTATAGCTTTCTGCCTCTGAGTTTCTGCCATGGGGCTGTATGTGTCACGTATGCAAACTTAACCCTGGGTATTTATATCAGAAAAATAAGAATAATTTTAAAAGGCCTTTCTTCCTTGTTGGACTTCCTTGTTGGTGCAATGGAGCCCTGCCCAGCCTACTCACCAAGCAGACCCCAAACAAAGACTTACTTGCTCTTGAAGTCCTCAGCCAGACTCTGCACCTTGCTCAGCTCCCCACCCAGGTTCTCCTTGTCAGCCAGCAAGTTGCTCAGCTGCCTCCTGAGGTTGTTGATGTAAGCCTCAAAGAGGGGCTCAACATTGTTTCTGACTGTTTTGTGCCCCTGTTCTTGCAGAAGGGCCCACTTGGTCTCCAGGACTTTGTTTTCTTGCTCAAGGAACCGGACCTGGAATGAGAAAGCAGCTACTTCAGAAGTAGCTTGACTTTAGGATGGTTTTCCCTATCTCTGCTTCCCTACATCCCAAAGCACCATTTCCCCTCTACTGCTCTCATTATGTGGGATGAAAGAATGGTCTCAAACCAAACAATCCTCGGGTTTTATTCCCTGGCTGCTGCTGATAGAAATGGCTTTGCATCAAAAGCAGCACGGCTAATACAACTTGCCCTTCTTTGTGCTTCTCCACTAAAGAATCAGCATGGCACAGCCCAGAAATCTCATGACTCACCTTGTCGATGAAGGAGGCAAATTTGTTGTTGAGGGTTTGGATCTGTTCCTTCTCTTCCTTACGGATGCTCTGGATGCTGGGGTCGATCGCCAGGTTGAGGGGCTTCAGAAGGCTCTGGTTGATGGAGACCTCCTGGATGCCTCCAGTGGGGACTGCGGGGAATCCAGGGCCACCCATGCCCCCACCAAACCCAAAAGCACCACCAAACCCACAGGCGATCCCAGTGCCAGCACCAAACCCTGCAGGTCCATAGAATCCACTGCCCCTTCCAGCCATAGAGATCCTCTTGCATCCACCAACACTGTAGAGGCTTCTGCTCCCAAAACCTCCTCCAAATCCTCCATACCCCACAGCAGTGCCGCAGCTTCCACCTTGAGCCATGGAGCGCGAGACAAACCCGGTGCTACAGGCACTTGGGATGAAGGCAGACGCAGCACTGAAGCCAGTCCGGCCCTGGTTCCTCACGGTGCACTGACGAGACATCGCAGCCAACGGGAGAGATTGGAGGAGCAAAGCAGCGAGGATGAGGAGGAGTGCAGCGAGATGAGGTTGTGCTCCCTGGCCTGGGGTTGGCCCTTTTATCCCCTTACGAGCTGGGGGTGGGTTTGGTGAGGTGCACACCAGACTGATTAACCAGGCTCGGCACGCCTCGCCGCGATGCCAATCACCCGCAAAGTTGCAGCTGTTGCATTTTTGGGGACAGTCATGGTCTGGCTGTTGAAATATCTGTAAAAACACCAAAGGCTGCTCACAGCCACCCCTTCCCCACTCCTTTCTGCAGCGCATTGTCCGCGTTGGGCAAGCGCTCGCTCATCTCTATTTCATGGGTGAATCAGTCCCTCCCTTGCGTCAAAGCGCATTTTTTCACTTTGGAGCTCTCTGCGAAGGGTGGGAAATCTCTGATTGTGGATCTGTGTTTTCCTGCTGCTGAGATTCTGAGTAAAGCCATCAGCATCAGCACCTCGGGTCTCAACTTGTTGGGTATTCTGGGCTTTTCTTCTCATGCCTGAATGTGGCATTTAACTTGAGATGATAGGAGAAAGGAAGAAAGAGGTGGTGGACAAAGCCAATGTGTCAGTGGGCACTGATGGAAATCTTGGACCATCAGCTTTGGAAAACCATGTGGAGAATGGCAGGACATGCAAGTTGCTTAGTGAACAAAACCTTCAGACCTTTTCTTTCTGTGAAATGAATTTGCAAATCATGCTGATTCAGACTGACAACAAATGATGAAATATTACTGCGTGAGCTGGGAGGGAGCTCCTGCCGGCAGTGACAGCACAGCCTGAGCTGGTGATTCTGCACAGCTTCACCTCACAGATGTTGAGCCTAACTGATGAGCAACCGTGCCCTTACCCAGCCTGTTCCCAGGCTCTCCTCCCCACATCTCTTCTCTTCCCCTTTCGATAACTCTTAGTCACCAGGAAATTCAGTGCCGGGGATCTGCTTTTGTGGCATTGTTCTCAGCCAACTCCCTCCACTCCAATTTGTCAGAGTTCCCAGGAAATGCCAATAATGCACTTTTTAAACGATCCACGCTGTCCTCTGTGCCCTCCACTGTGGCACTGTGTGCGTGGAAACCTGTCCAGGAGGTGCTCCAAGGCCACTCCTGATGTCTGCTCTTTGTGCCCAGCAATTTCCAGGGCCAGAAATAAGTCAAGTGCTTTTGGCCAGAATGTCCCCGGGGATGATTTGCAGATGCTCATCATCTCTGTTTTTCAGCCATACTCTTCCCTTCTTTTCTTCTCCCATTTCCCCTTTTTCTCCCCTTTCTTCTTATTTTTTCCCCCTTTTCCTCTTATTTTTCCCCATTCTCTCTTTCTTTTTCTATCACTTCCCCTTCTTTTTTCTGCCTTTTCCCTTTCTTCTTCCCTCTTCTCTCCTTCTTTCTCCCTTCCTTTCCCCTTCTTTTTTCCTCTTTTTCCTCTCCTTTCTCTCGTTTTCCTCTTCTTTTCACCCTTTTCACCCTTCTTTCCCACCTTTTCCTCTTCTTTTTCCTCCTTTTTATCTCCTCTCTCTTCTCCTTCTTCCCCTTCCCCTCCTTTCCCCTGCTTTTTCCCTTCTCTTTTCCCCTTCCTCTCCTCCCCTTTGACCCCTTCTATTCTCTCCTTGCTTTCCTAGTATTTCTATCACACACCCTGCAAGGAAGATAAAGTAAATGTCCTGGCAGTGTTTTGTCACTTGTGAGCTACAGCGTGCAGCAGATTTCAAGGCAGCTCATCCCTCAAAGAAGGGCTTCAGTACCCAATCCTAAGGCACTGGTCTCAACTCTCTGCAGAACTCCATCACAGGCAGCACTCAGTGATGGGTGTTTGGAGTCACAGTTTCCTCCACACGTTGCAAATTCGAGTCTCTGGGCTGTGCCAGTGTTAACTGAGGGCTGTCCTGCTCTATATCTGTATTTGTGCATGGAGAGCAGACTGTGCTCTGCAGCACGACAGCTGCATGTTGTGTGATGAGAAACTTTGCTTCATTCTTGCTATCTTGATAAAAAGCAATGCCTGGGGAGAAGGAATTCTGACCTCAGCCTTTCCCATGCTCGTTGAAGAGCTTTGTAATCTCAGTGCTATGACCCAGGTGTGATGCAACCACTGCTGTGCCCGTGGCTACGTGCACTGCTGCGTCCTGGTGGCTGGGAGTTGCAACCCACAGCACTGGCTGGGATGCTGGATGGGGGATCCCAGGAGCCCTCAGCAGGAAGAGATGGAGGAGGAGGAGCACAGAGATGCAGCAGAGCTGCAACCCTGTTGGCAGCTCACTGCAGGGGAGATTCCCTGTGGGATGTGGAGAGGAGCAGAAAGAGTTCAGAGAATCCCAGAAAAGCATGGGAAACTGCTGATTTTGAAGAAAAACCTAAATATATTCTGCCACTCAGGGGCCTTTTCTCCTCTATGAACCCAACTCTTTGAGTATTTTCCCAAGAGTGTGGCTATACCCATTTCCTGACCTTATGTACAAAGGCAACAGGGACGTTTTTGAAAATCCTGTATCTTTCCCACTTGTCTTCCAGCAACTGTCACTACTTCGGAGCTTTCAGCCTGATAATGCTCTGCTTTCACTTCTCAATTAATTTCTCCTGATTAGTCACAGAACCACATCTAAAACTGCTGCACCTCCCCTGATTCTCCTCCACCTCCTCAAAGTCAGATCTTGTCTTCAGTGCATTCTAGGAACGAGAAGAAACAGTGGATGTTGGAGACTTGCTATTTCTGACAGGTTCTTGGATAACTTTTATAGCTGTTGGATGGGAGACAGCTCCCTTCAACACAGCACATGGATGTGTGTGGATGGGCCTCTCCACCTCTTACAGTCTTCTAGAAAGGGAGTACCCCAAGTACAGCTCTGAGCAGAAGGGGAGTTCTTCCAGGTGTCTGCTCTTACACTTACAGAATCATAGAGTCAGGTTGGGAAAGATCTCTAGGTTCATCAAGTCCAACCATCAGTCCTTCCCCACCATGCATACTCACAGAATCAGTGAGGTAGGACAAGACCTCTGAGACCATCTGGTCCAACCCCAACCCATCCCACTATGCCCACTAATATTCCCTCAGTGCCACATCTCCATGGTTTTTGAACACCTCCATGGACAGTGACTCCAACAAACTCTTCTAGAAGAGAAATTTCTTCTGATACCTAAGAACTGAGGTGAGACAGCTCGCAGTAAATAGAGTTTCGAGATGGGCTTACATCCTTGGACAGGTCGGGTGGCTGTGCTGACTCCCCTGCCAATTAGTTCCCTATTGTTCTAAGTTCATGCAGGTACATCACACGCCTGGCACAGCCCTTTGTGCCCCCTGGGAGCTGCTGTGCTGGCTGCAAGCTGCACGCTAAATGAATCCCAGACCTTTTCCCCTGTGCCTTACTCTTGCCTTGGCATGCCCTGCGTTTTGCTTCCGGGGGTTTTCCTTGCTCAGTGAGGAGAAGCAACACATTGCAACCCATGGCACCCTCCCCTTGCTGCTGCACCATGACTTTATTTGGCTGCTCATGGGGAGATTGAGGAGACATGAACAGGGAGCAAAAAACTGCACCTTGAACTGGGCAGGGCCCCATGAAAAGTGCTCGTTATCTGTATTTGCATTTGTTGTTCCATGCCTTTAATTAAAAGCTCCACGCAATAGAATAAATTACATATGCATTTTTATTAGACAAACACCAGAAAGTAAAGAGAGAAAGTCATGGGACACATTTTATATACAAAATCTGGCTGGAAAAAAAAATAACAAAACAACAAAAAACCAAAAAGCTGAGCGGTAACAAGCGAGTTGCAGATTTAAAACAGAGGGATTTCCGATCCACGGCAGAGCCCTGCATGTGTGCAAGAGAGGAGGTTTCCAGTGAGGCTCCTGCGCCACAGGACATCGGGTTCAGGTGGCTCCTGTTCTGCTTCCCCTGATTATGCTGTGGTGAAGGACCCGTGTCGTGGTGTTCTCTGGCGAGGGAGGGAGAGCTTTAGCTCCTGTAACTTCTCCGGGAGGAGGAGGAGGAGAAGAACTTCATGCTGGAGCTGCTGCCCCCACCCAGGGCACTGGTCCCCCCGGGCCCACTGCAGCTGTAGTTGTTCCCCATGCTGCACATGCCACCCCCCATGCTGAGGTTGCTTCCTCCTCCATATCCCGATCCCACAGTGGTTCTGGTCACGGCTGCAAAAGAGATAGAAAAGTAATAAGGCATTGGCTTCTCAGTGTAGGGGCATAAAAACGCTCAGGCGAGGTAATTTTATAGATTTTAGACTTACAGATATTCACTGGGACACCATCTCCAGCCAGCCTGTATGGGGAGAGAACAGCAACGTAAGAGGACAAGGATACAGACGACAGCAGGGAAAAATACAGGGGCCATTTTATAGGACTCCTGTAAATATTTGGTATTGTCCATGGATGCTCCTCACAATATTCCATCACCCGACCTCCCCCTGCTCCTGGGTACCCCAATCGATGCGTGTACCTCATGAGGGAGCATCCCACCCATGTTTTAAAATACCCCCCCACATTGATCCTCCCTCATTTTATACTGCTTCGTGCTCCAGCTCTTTGAACCCAATGGAATGTGTCCATCTCCAGGGAGGATCACACAGGGAAAAGTGAAATTTGCTGATATTTCTGCAGGGATTCTTTACCCACCTGCACTCCTCGCCCTCCAGCAGCTTCCTGTAGGTTGCAATCTCGATATCCAGGGCCAGCTTGACGTTCATCAGCTCCTGGTACTCACGCAGCTGCCGGGCCAGGTCTGCCTTTGCCTGCTGCAGGGCATCCTCCAGCTCAGCCAGTTTTGCTTTGGCATCCTTCAGGGCAATCTCCCCGCGCTCCTCAGCATCCGCAATGGCTGCTTTCAGATTTGCACACTGGGAGAGAGAAAATCTCGGTCACATTCCCCTAGTTGACTTGTTCCTTTTCTACCCTATAATCACAAGGTCTTATTCCAGCATCACCAATTTAACTAATTTTACTGAGTTTTTTGTTTTTGACAGAAGTGTCAGCTAAGCAGAACTTGCCTACATTGCTTCTGATATTTTCTTTCCTTTCTTCCAATCTGGGGGGTAAATTGATTAAAAGCATGGATTTTCCTGCCCTGTACCTGTTTCTTCACGTTGTCAATCTCAGCCCGCAGACGCTGGACGTGGCGGTTGAGCTCAGAGATCTCCTGCTTGGTGCTGCGGAGGTCGTCCCCGTGCCTGCCTGCGGTAGCCTGCAGCTCTTCATACTGCCAGGGAGAGGAGCAGAGGTCAGGGCAGAATCCAGCATTGTAGAGTGAAGAAGCATGTGAGTATCATGGAACCACGGGATGTTTGGGTCGGGAGGGTCCTTCAAGGTCATAGAACCATGGAATGTTTGGGTTGGAAAGGTCCTTACAGCTCCCCCAGCCCCACTCCCTGCCCTGGGCTGGTCCCACTCCTCCATCAACTGCCCAGGGCCTCATCGAGCCTGGACCTGTGCACCTCCAGAGATGGGGCACCCACAGGTCTCCCTCCTGTTTCTAAGCTCGCTTTATGGATGCAAAGACTGCAGTGAGGTCTCTCTGAAGCCTTCCCATCTCCAGCTGAATTTCCCCAGCTCCCTCATCCCTTCTCCATAGGAGAAGATTTTCCTGGAAGAGTCAGCCCTTCTCTATTCAAGACAAGACATGAAGACAGAAGCACGGAAAGCCCCATCTCCTTCACCTTGGTTTGGTACCAGGACTCGGCTTCAGCCCGGCTGCGGTTGGCGATGTCCTCGTACTGCGCTTTCACCTCTGCAATGATGCTGTCCAGGTCCAGGTTGCGATTGTTGTCCATGGTCAGCACCACGGAGGTGTCGGAGATCTGGGTCTGCATCTGGGACAGCTCCTGCAATGGGAACAGGGTGAGCTTGCACTCGGTGGTGCCTCCTCATCCCTAAGGATGAGCGCGCCAAACTGGGAGAGGCTGCAGATCATTATCTGCACGGTTCTAAAGAGTGAAGAGTTCAGCATCTCCTGGGGGGAGGAATTAAGGGCTGTTGGAGGGAGGTGGGTGATAGTACTTACAGCTTCGTAGAGGGCTCTCAGGAAATTGATTTCTTCAGTCAACGCATCTGCCTTGGCTTGTAGCTCAACCTTGTTCATGTAGGAAGCATCCACGTCCTGGAAGGTGAGAGAAGTGGACAGTGAGTTTTAAAGTCTTGTTCACGTGTGTATTTCTGCAGTAACAGAGCAGAGAAGTCATGAAGAAGACAGGGAAGAAGTCAAGAGGGCATCAAGAAGTACGGATGGGTTTGTGGATGGAGAGTGGATGGAAAGAGTCGTGAGCCGATGAGCCGCAATGCGCTCTCACCTTCTTAAGTGTCACAAACTCATTCTCTGCAATGGTGCGCCTGTTGATTTCATCTTCGTACCTAATGGAGGAGGCAGAGGGAGTATTGTTTAGGCAGGTAGCAGACGGAGGTGATTTTATTTTGCTGGAATGAACTTCCTTAACAGCAGTTTGCATACAATGTTCTTTTCTCCTACGTTGCATCTGAATAAGAGACCATGAGCGATTTCCTAGGCTGAACTAGTTAAAACAAGTACATTAAGGAAAAAAAAAGTGAAAGCATCTCTGCTATTCCTTTTCTCCTCTTTCTGGCCGTTACTCATTCCCCTTCAGCCTCTCTTAAGCAAATTAAGCATGCTGCCTCAAAACTTTCAGACCTACCGTGTAATTTTTTCTCCGTGCTAGGTAATTTAGTTAATAAGCCTTTGATCATATTCTAAATTATTCCCTGAATATTTGTGCATTTGGATCTGTTGCTCCGTTACCATCTATTTTGAGAAAGTGGCACAGCCTTCATTGTCGGGAATTCCTTCACTGTTGGGATTCCCGTATCCCAGTGCTGGAGGGCTCAGCTGGACCCCCAGATGGCGGTAGGATGGGGGAAGCTGCACCCATCAAGTGGGCAGAGCACATGGACTTACTTCTTCTTGAAGTCCTCAACCAGGTACTGTGTGTTGACGAGCTCTCCCTCCAGCCTCCCCTTGTCGCTCAGCAGGCTGTTCAGCTGCATCCTCAGGTTGTTGATGTACGTCTCAAAAAGTGGCTCCAGGTTGTTCCGGACCGTTTTCATCCCCTGCTCTTGCAGCAGGCTCCACTTGGTTTCCAGCACTTTGTTTTGTTGCTCGAGGAATCGGACCTGCCAGAAGAAATATGCTGAAGATGTTTGGAAAGGGCAGAGATTGGGGTGAACTTCCTTTGCACTTGTGGGGTCCCAGTACCAGAGAGGGGTTGCAGTACCCTTTCCAACTGGTTTTCACAGATAAATTTATCTCTGATAGAAACAGGAATTTGCAATTTGATTGCCATTTTCCTGCTCAGTGTTGCAAACAAGCGCTGGAACTAATTTCCTTTCCCCTTCTGCCCTTTGAATAAGTGTGCAAGATGCAAACAGCATGTTGAAAATCAGATGAGGAGTAAACAGGATTGGAACTCCTATTAAGAAAAGTGCCAGTTCCCCCCCTCTTAGCATTGCTCCTCCACTTTGAAAAACCTCTGATATAATGCAGAATAATGCAGCATTTTGCTTCGAAGCAAGAGGAGCTGCTCAACCAGGAGAGAAATCAAGCAGGTGCTCTTGTGCATCTAATATGCTTAATGAGGAAATGAAGTGGACAGAAAGTGTCGGATCAGATTTTGCTATTTTGAGCAGTCCCAACTTGCTGGTACTGTTTCATTATGAGCTTTAAATGCCTTTGAGGAAAATTCAAGCACTGAGAGGCTTATATCTTCCTTTGTGCTCTTCCTTTTCTAGTCATTTCAGGATTGCTCGCACCTCACTTTAACCACCCAACACCTGTTATCCTGAAGTGCTCAATGGAGAGACCCCAACACCTGCAGAGGGGTGGAATTGCCTTTGAGAGTTTTCTCTCTCCATTTGCCTCGCAGCAAATGAGAACCTCAGATGCTGGGTGATGCACTCATAGCAACCACTGCACAGCAGGTACCACTGCCTGGAGTTCCAGGGACAGAGGCATCTTCCAGTCCCATTCCTGATCACTGTTCCTTCTTGCTCAGCTCATGTGCTCATCATGCAATAAGAATCCCCATCAAAACATGAGGGCAGGGAAGCTCATGGCTCACCTTATCGATGAAGGATGCAAATTTGTTGTTGAGGGTTTTGATCTGCTCCTTCTCCTCCTTTCGGATCCTCTGGATGCTGGGGTCGATCTCCAGGTTGAGGGGCTTCAGAAGGCTCTGATTGATGGATACCTCCTGGATGCCACCAGCAGGGAACCCAGGGCCTCCAAATGCCCCGTATCCGTAGCCCAGCATGCTCCCAGCACCTCCACCAAACCCTGCGGGGCCATAGAAGCCCCCACCCCTTCCAGCTGCAGAGATCCTCTTGCATCCACCGAAATTGTAGAGGCTTCTGCTTCCAAAGCCACCTCCAACCCTTGCAAAGCCACTGCCAGCATTGCAGCCCCCAGCACGGGTGACGGAGCGTGAGCTGAAGCTGGTGCGGCACGTGCCGGGCACGATGGCCGACGCAGCGCTGAAGCCACTTCTCCCCCTCTGGATCCTGACGGTGGACTGGCGAGACATGGCTGGTTTGGGATGGGGTGGATGCTACGGCACGAGGGAAGCAGTGGAGGTGCTGGCCTGGAGCAAGGAGTGGGAGGGAAAGTAGAAAGATGAACCTGTGCTCCTCACGGGCTCGGGAGAGCCCTTTTATGCATTTATGAGACTGGGATGGGTTTGATGAGGTGGATCGTCTTTCTGATTAATTAGGCTTGGCATGTCCAACAGCATTCTGGAGAGAGAACTCACTCCGCACACACGCCCTTCTGAAATAATACAGCCAAGTTCTGAGCAACAGTGGTATTGTTTGGGAATAACTGTCGCCTTCTGCTGTCTTTGTAGACGGGCAGACTCTGCACCATATCAAAGAGTTTGGGAGCTGCAATGAATCAGCCTGGTCACGGGAGGGAAACACCGTTTAGAGTGGCTGTCACTCAGCTCTTGGGATCTTCAGACCATGGGACTGCTCTCCTCAGCCCATCTCTGTGAATGGGGCTTTAAGAAGTTGCAGTCCCTGGTGTTTTAGGGAAAGGAATGTGTTGGCAGGGCAGCGTTGTGCAGTCCTGTAGAACATTGCACGTTGCTTTATCCTAGGATTTTGTGGTGTCATGGAATCACTGAATCCATGGGTGGCTTGGTTTGGAAGAGTCCTTCAAGATCGCAGAATCACAGAATCACAGTGTGGCTTGAGCAAGAAGGGAACTTCAAAGCCCCCCCCATCGCCACTCCTTGCCTTTGGGCTGATCCCATTCCTCCATCAGCTTCCCAGGGTCTGTTTATGGCCTTGAGCAGCCCAAGGTGCACCTATGCTTCTCTGGGCAGCAGTGTTAGGGCCTCACTATTTTCTGGGTGAAGAATTTCCCCCTCACATCTGACCCAAATCTCCCCTCTTTTAGTTTGAAATAAGCCATATAGTCCCCTTCTACAGTACATCTACACAACTACCTCTACTTTATCTCTACATAGGCTGAGTTTCTTGAGCTGGTGTCTTCTGAAAATCCTGCTCCAGTGGACATACCTTTCTGTGACTCTTAAAAATAATATATATATAGAGAGAGAGAGAGAGAGGAAGGAATGAAAATGGAACATTTTGTCACAGTCTCTTGTTCACACCTGGACTTTGACAGCCCTATTCACTGCTGCCATTGAGTTCTGTCATGGCTGTGCTGCTCCCCCAGCTTCCAGGCTTTCAAATTTGACATTTAGGAGGATGGAAACGAAAACAATGAGAAAAAAAATAAATAACTACGGAGGAGGAAGGACTGTGGGAATGGAGCTGCTCTGAATCCACTGGCTCTATGGAAATAGAGTGCTCCAGGGCTGCTCCCAGCTCCCCATCTATAAACATGATGTCATTCCCCAAAGATTTAATCAGCTCTCTGCTCATCTGAAAGAGGGATCCCATCAACCTGAATCCATGAGAAAAGTGCTCCACAGGATCTCTTGCCCAAATCCTTAGCAATCTGTGCACAAAGATACCTGGCCCTGTCCTTTCCCATCCATGTGTGCCAATGAAAACGTTTGCTTTGCATGAGCATCACAAGCAGTTCAAGTAATGAGTCAAATCGTGATATCGTGATAAAGCCTCAATTTTGAGGGGGGAGAAGAGCATCTGGCCCTTTCTGTTTCTGGCAGGTCTGGAAAAGATGACTCATATGTAATTACACAAGAGGGTGACTTCGCAAAAGCATCCCCCCGAACAGCTTCATCTCGTGTTTCTGGAGCAGCAATCCTTTGTTTATTTTGGTAGCTGTTCCTTCAGCTCCTTCAATGAAGGGCTGAGCCTTCATTGTGATGCTGCACCTTCCACACTGCAACAGTCCCAGTGGGGCTATTCGCCAGGTGTGCACATTTGCACACCCAAAGCCCTGTCATGCTTTGGGCATTGCTCCCTGGGGTGCCCTCCATCCCTTGTGGCTCCACCTGAAAGCTTTTCCCCGTTGCTGTGCAGCTCAGGAGGGCATCAGCACCAAAGGGATTCCCCGTCCTTTGCACAGCTGCAGCACCACAGGGCTGACTCAGGGTGTGCAGAGCCTGAATCCCACCCTTGGTTACCAACGAGTGTGATGAGTCAGTGCTTTCCTTTCCCCCCTCAGGCTCCATTTTACATATGAAACTCATCTTTTTTAGCCAAAGAATACGCCAACCGCGTTGGAGTCCATTGTTAATAATAGTAATAATACAGCTCCTCCAACCAAATAAAAAGAAATTAATTTCTTTCCATTTCACATTTGCACTAGGGTGGAGGTGATGCGGTTGTCACTCATCTGGAAGGAATTTGAGAGGTAATTACAAAAGGCAGAACTGGGAGCACCAGGAGCTGCAGCTACAGGTCTGGGGTATGGGTGATGGCAGAGGGTCCCCACCCTGCCCTGTTGATGAAACATTGGGTTTCCAGGTAGCTCCCGGGGGAGTGTCTCCCCTGTGCCCTGCAGCTCCAGGCATGTGGATGAAATTGCTGCTCTAATGCAGATAGCTCACCCTGATACGGACTTCTCCTCTGGCAGAGTGTAAAAAGCAGAGTGGTGCTCTGCTTTTTCCTCCTGATCAGATCACAGAGCTGTGCTGGGGCTGAGAGCCCCGTAATGCAGCTCTGGAGCCTTTTCCACCCCTCTCCCTCCTTTCCTCCTCCAGGGATAGGTGGGAGATCCCTGGGGTGCAGCCTGGTATCACGCTAACATTGAGGTAATACACTCCTTCGAGGGTAGAAAAGTGAATTCTGGCTGCATCAGGGCAATAACTACAACTCAGGTCCTTGTAGTGGGAAATTTGAGCTGTTTCCCAGCCAGAGAGAAAGAAGGCAGCTACAACAACTTGCCACCAACACCTGCCCAGCATCCACCGTGAGATGATTCCACGGATGCATTTGCCATGGGAGCCTTCGTTTCAAGATGGATGTCTGTTCTCAGACAAGGTTGGAACCTTTTAGCAGTGGCTTAATGTGATTTCTTTGCAAAAATAGACATTTATAAAATAAGAGCATGTCCTACTGACTCGTGTTGGTTCACTAACTAATCTCAGTTTAATTATCAGTAAAGTCAAGGCTATAATTTACGTTAATTGCTTAAATTAAAGCCTTTGGGTTAAACTTGGGCTGCTAACCTAAATTCAAACCCTGCTCATTTTGGCTGTAATTTACCGTATCATCCCAACCCTACGCAGTCCCAATCATCACCCTGAGCTTTCTCCACACTGCACCCCATGGTCGTTGCATGGCATGGCAGAGACCTCCAGGAGCAGAGAGGGAGCTGGGATTCACCTCCCTGAATCTCATTTCCCCAAGGAATGAATTGGGATGAGCTGCTCCAGAGCGTTCCCATAGGTGTTGCCCCGTGCTGGGCGTTGCAGTCCTTTGAGCCTGTTCCCAGCAGTATCTGGAGGCCAGTCAGCTGGAAGTAGTGCAGGACTTTGAAGTGTAGGTGTGACCAGCTTTCTCCAGATAATTGGTTTTTGTGTTAGTGCAGAGACACCAGTGCAGCTCAGGGTTTTGGAGTAACTTTGCTTTTATTTTTGCTGTTGTTGCAGATTGAGGAGGTCTCCTTTCAGCCCATGGCTTGTTGCATCCCAAAAGAGCCTCTGACCTTGGTGGGTATATATCCTTATCCCGCTCTGCATTCAACACAGCTGCTTGCATGGAGGTACCCAAATAATATAGAATAAATAATACCCAAATAAATAATCCCAAATACCCCCAAATTATTCTGTTGCTCCTTCTGAGCACCTTTAATGCCCTGGATAGGGCTCTGTGACCCTTCTAACCCAAGCCATGACCTTCTAACCCATTCCATGTTTCTATGATCATAAAGAGCCCTTCCAACCCAACCATTCTATGGTTCTACGACCCTTCCAAGTCAAACATCCTATGGTCCTACGGTCTGTAAGGACCCTTCCAACCCAACCATCCTATGGTTCTATGGTCTGTAAATGCCCTTCCAACCCAACTATCCTATGATTATGATTCTGTAATCTCCTTTCTCATGGCCCTAGGGTGAATCTTCTCTCATTTTAAAGTTGCAGTGAAAGTGAAGTTGCTGGATACCTCATGATTTCAGATTAGCATCCTGCACCAGCACCGCTTCCGGCTCAGGGTTTCTTGCAGACAGACCTAGCGCTTGTGCAAAATTTAATTTCTCCCAATTAAAACAAAAAATACCGTTCTCTGAGCAGGTAAAATCAACAAGTATTATTCACATATTCTAGGAGGTGTCTCCGAGCGGGGTTTTGCTCTCCAAACAATTGACTGATCCTTGTGAATTGTAGCAGGGGTGTTGTTCCTCTGCTGGATTTACTGAGTCCTCCGTCACCTTCCCTGAAGCCATTTTGTGTCTTGCTTCATTTCCAGGCTGCATGCATTTGCAAGTTTTTTTAAAAATAATAATTTTGTTAGGAGAAAACCTTGTCTGGAGGGGACCCTGCATGGTAGGACCAACACTTCCAGCCTGTCAGCCAGCTCTGTGCCTTTCCCTTGCTCTGGGTCCCCACCTACTGGAGACAGCAGGCTGGGTTGTCGGGTGCCTGCACACCTCTGGCTTTTTGGCAGTGGGGCTGCTCCTTCTCCTCCCCCTCCTTTGGGGTACCCATGGTTGGAGCTGGTAGGGCATGTGGGATGGTGGGTGGATACTGGGAAGGAGTGAGATGCTCACCTTAGGACATCCCTCCAAAGGGCTGTGGGGATTTTCTGCTCCTCTCCTTCATGTTGCAGCTGTCAGAGCTTTGTGCCAGGTTTCCAGTGCCCATTGCTGCTGTTGTCTGGATTGCCACCCATTGAGCGGTGGGATCCCATCCCAAATCTGCTCCCTGAAACCTTCTGGGGAAGTGGGTGGAAATGGAGCTGCCAGGTCCTGCAGGTTCTCTCAGAATGAAGCTGAGGTCCCAGAACAGCCCTTCCAGAGCAGCATTTGAATGAGATATCACAATACAAGGGAAAATTCCACATGCAAGCATGCAGTGATATATCGGACACTTTGCCCTGCTCCTGCCCCAATTTGCTCTTTGCTGGTACTGTCCTCCTCCCTTAGGGGGTGACATTTCCCTTCCTAGGGGCTCAGTGCAGAGCACCTCCCCTCCTCAGTGCAGTTCTTGATGTCCTGGCTGTGGTCCTCATGCTCGCACTGGGCTCCTTTGCTGTAAGGTTTGCTCCATGCTATGCCTACACTAACTCAAGGATCTTGGCCAAGCCTTTGACAATCACCTTCCTTTCCCCATCTCCTGTGTTTTCTCACTCCTGCAGGGATGAGAAAAATGACAGCCCCATGGTGGGGTTCCTCCAGCTTTTGTCTTACCCAGAAGCAGCTTGTCCTCTCTCTGTCTCAGTTCTCTGCCCAGCCCACTCTCCCAGAGCCACACTGGAGTATGAGTCCTAGCCCCGAGCTCAAGGTAGTACTCTTAGAATCACAGAATCACACAATGGTTGGGTTGGAATAGACTTCAAAGATCACAGAATCATAGAATGGATGAGTAGAAAGGAACTCCAAAGTCCTCCCTCTATGGGCTGCTCCCACCCCCCCATCAGCTGTCCATCCCTATCCACGGCCATGAGTACCTCTAGGGATGGGGCACCCACACGTCTCCAGGCAGCTGTGCCATGGCTTCACCAGCTCTGAGTAAAGAATATTCTCACCCAAATCTCCTATCTTTTAATTTAAAGCCATTCCCCCTTGTCCTATCACTGCCTGCCATTGTATAAAGCTGTTCTCCTGTTTACAAGCTCCATGTAAGTACTGGAAGACTGTAACGATATCTGCCTCCTCGGAGCCTTTTTGTCTCCAAACCAATTCCCGTCAGAGAATGAAGCCAAGAAGCAGCAGTTTTTAAAAATGACAGATGCTCTTTATTGGACAACACAGTATGGTAGGAAATGAAGAGGCTATAGCCATGGGTCAAGAAGTTGGAGATCAGTGGCAATTCTTGTATGCAGAAAGCAGTAACATTTCCCCTGGGTTCCTGAGAGAATAGAAGGGGCTGGAAAATTCTTTTAATTGCAGCTGAAAGGTTTGGAGGTTGTAACATGTGATGTGATTAGGGGCTTGCAGAGCCTCTTGGGGCTCCTGTCCTTGCCAAGGACCTGGGGCTGAGGTTTCACAGGGCTGTCCCCTTGCTGTGGGGAGAATGAAACAAATGCATGTGGCCTCCCCCCATTCAGCAAAGTGCTTTAAATGCTTTGCATTAAATACATGATCTCGTGAGGAGGAACGGAGGAGGGCTGGCATCGGGTACCGTGCCAGTTCCCAAAGCCCCATTGGTGACCCACTACAACCTGTGCTTTGACCAAAGGTGCTCCAGATTCTCACAGTGGGGTCCTGGTCTCCCCCCCAGTACCCCGAGAGAGGCTGGCGAAGGACGGAGGAAGGAGAGGGCGCAGCGCAGCTATGTACAGCACTGATTGGTAAGGCAGCACGTTGCTTTTGGAAGGCAGGAAACACACCGTTGGCCGGAACCATCCTTATCTGATGGTCTTTTTGCTGGTAGTGGTCTTGGAAACGATCCGCACGCTGCCTCCCGTGCTGGAGCTGACCCCTCGGCTGCTGCTGGAGCTGAAGTTGCTGCCTCCACCATAGCTGTAGCTTCCACTCCCGCCCCCGAATCCTCCACCGCCGCCACTGCTGCTCATGGTGTAGCTGCCGCCGCCTCCCATGCTGAGACCACTGCTCATGCCAAGACCACTGCTCATGCCAAGACCACTGCTCATGCCGAGACCTCCACCCATGCCGAGACCACTGCCCATTCCAAGACTTCCTCCCATGCCGCCGCCATAGCCCATCCCGCTGGAGCTGCTCACTACAGCTGTGAGAGAACAGGGATGAGTGAGACCACCTCAGCGTCTTGCAGATCCCCAGGGTGGGGGGACAAACCCCAGCAAACAAGGGTGGGAAAGGGGGAGATACTTACAGACACTCACGGCTCCAACGCCCTCTCCAGCGAGCCTGGTGGAAAAGAGGAAAGGAGGAGGTAACACAGGCAAGATGCAGTGGTACCTGGGAGGGTCTCACTGCAGGAGCATTCAGTTGGGGAACTATCCAATGGGGGGACCATCTAAATGGGAGACTATCCAACTGAGGGGCCATCCAATTGCAGGGCCTTCAAACTGGGAGACCATCTAATTAGGAGAACATGCAATTGGGGAATCATTCATCTAAGGGACCACTCACTTGGAGGACCACCTAAATGGGGAGTCGTCTAGTTTGGGGACTTTCTGTCTGGAGGCCTGTCTAATTAGACTTTCCTGTCCTTCAATAGGGTCCTTCTACTGCTGGGCTATGTCTGCAGCACATGTGGAAGTGGCAATTCTCATTTTTCTTAGTGCATCAGATGCCAACAACTGGAGGAACCCAGCTTTTCCTAGAAACCTCACATTTCAAAACACCCATCTCCTCCCTCTGTTTTTATGTTCCTTTATGCTCCAGATCCTTGGGGTGAGCTGAGGCTTTGGGCCCAAAGAGAGGTGCAGCATGCCGGGAAAAGTGATATTTGCTGATATGTCTGCAAGGATTCTTCACTCACCTGCTCTCCTCGCCCTCCAGCAGCTTCCTGTAGGTTGCAATCTCGATGTCCAGAGCCAGCTTGACGTTCATCAGCTCCTGGTACTCACGCAGCTGCCGGGCCAGGTCTGCCTTGGCTTTCTGCAGGGCATCCTCCAGCTCGGCCAGTTTGGATTTGGCATCTTTCAGGGCCATCTCCCCACGCTCCTCTGCCTCAGCAATGGCTGCTTGGAGACTGGCACACTAAAACAGAGGGAAGCAGATAGCTGTTTAAGTTGGGCTACCCAAATCTGCAGTCCTGTGGTACTGTTGGTGCTACCAGTGGGCTCCAGCATAGCACTGGGATTTATTTCTGGAGCTATCAGAGAGGTGTCAGAGGGTGGGTGACTGAAGAGCCACAGTCCTGTTCCACGTGAAAATGAGCAGAATCTGCATCTCTTTGTTTTGCTGGCATGATGCAATAGCTCACAGCTTGCTTCCCCAGCAAGAAAACAGCAATCACAGCACATCCTCACATCAGGGGACATTCTCCAGTAGGGAAAAGAGATGGCCATGCCTGCCAATGCAGGACATGGGCTTCCATCCCTGCCCAAAGTTAGGAGCATCCCCCCTACCTGTTTCTTCACACTCTCAATCTCGTTGCGCAGCCGCTGCACCATCCGGTTGATCTCTGAGATCTCCATCTTGGTGTTCCTGAGGTCATCGCCGTGGCGCCCAGCTGAGACCTGCAGCTCTTCATACTGGTAGGCAGAAAGGAGGAAAGCAGTGGTGAGGGACCATGGGGCTGGGAATGGTGTGTACCAAGTCTGGGTGCAGGTTGAGGGCGACCTCTGAGCACACTGCTTAGCCCAGAGTTGGCAAACTATGCCTTGCATAGAGCACCTGTGTGTTGTCACCTGCTTTAGGAACCAGGAAGGGAAAGAGCAGTGCCCTGTGTTTAAGGCCAGGTCTACCAGCAGCTCTGTGAGCCCAGAATCAAGGTGGGTTGAGTTCACAGCAGGGAAAGTCTGCTGCCTTGTGCAGCGGTCCACCAGCAAGCGTTGGCAATCAGTATGCAAGAGCCCATTGCAACGAGCACAGAACGTTACTCAATTTCTTATGCAGCGCTGAGGTCCTTCCTTGGTGAGTCCCACTTCCCTTCAGCTAATATAATGTAGCATCTGTGGTCCCTGTCACCCACCTTGTTCTGGTACCAAGCCTCTGCCTCAGCTCGGCTGCGGTTGGCGATGTCCTCATACTGTGCCTTCACCTCTGCGATGATGCTGTTGAGGTCCAGGCTGCGGTTGTTGTCCATGGACAGCACCACAGAGGTGTCAGACACTTGCTGCTGCATCTGGGACAATTCCTGCAGAAGATAGAAAAAAATGAGTTAATTGTCTGCTTTCTGCACTGGAAACCATAAGACGTCTTCAGAGCTCTGTCTTCCAAGAGATGCAATTTCTTGCATTTCTTTCTATCTCTCTTGCCACAGGTCATCATCCTGGAGGTGTTCAAGAAACGTGGAGATGTGGCACCTGGGTACAAGGTTAGGGGGCATGGTGAGATGGATTGCGATTGGACTGGATGATCTTAGAAGTCTTTCCCGATCATAATGATCCTATGAGTTTACAATTCTTCTCTGATTCTACTTATCCACAGTTTTCTATCTTATGGCTGCACTGCGATTTCTAACAGGCAGCGATGCTTCCTCCTTCACTGCCGTGCAGCACTGAGTGTGGAGCCAAGGGACGTCGTGCAGAGAACTGACTGCTCACCGCTTCGTACAGAGCCCTCAGGAAGTTGATCTCATCTGCCAGCCCATCTGCTTTGGCCTGCAGTTCCACCTTGTTCATGTAAGCACCATCCACATCCTAAAGAAAAGCAAAGCAAAGCTTCAGGTGCAAACCCACAGCAAAACTCAGATTCATGGGGATCAGACCGGAGTCAGAATTGCTCCCTTACTGTGGGTATCGGAGCAATACTCAGCTCATTACCCACTCCTGGTTGTGCTTACGCTGTATTTCACTGCCTGACCCTGCTGTGATGCTGCAGGACCCCATCTCCCAGCAGCTCTGCTTGGGCTCAGCCCTTTTATTCCATTCCCCCTTCCCTCACTCCCTCTTTACTCACCTTCTTGAGCACCACGAACTCATTCTCTGCACCCGTGCGCCGGTTGATCTCATCCTCATACCTGCAGAGATAAGAGAGGTTTTGGGCAGCAGCAAAGAACCCCACAGAGTGCAGAGATGGGTCCCACGTCACTCAATGTGGCTCGCGGATTCATCCTGCATCCCACTTCTTTACAGAGCAGATACAGAGCAAATGGACACTGGGGCTGAACCTTCAAGGACTCCATGTGTGAGAAGCCCTGGCTGAAATCTAAAGAATCCAATTGCTGCCTTTAGATCCAAGCTCATGCAGGGTTGCGTGGCATGGCGCTCGTAGAGACGTTTGCTCAAAGCAAAGATGTGCAAAAGCTTTCAGTGAAGCTGGACTGCAATACCTAGCAATGCGACTGTTTGATATTTGATGTTATAATAATGCTAATGGCCCTGAATAACCCACCACAGCATTTAATTTACTAAAAAAGAAAAAAAAAAGGAGAAGCCTGTGATTCTTTAACCACGGTTGTGCAAGGGCAGATCGTTAAGTAAGCCTCAGATTATGTCTATGAGGAACTTTTTATGTCTCTGAGCAACATCCTCTCATCAGATAATCAGGGCAGGGCTTAGCTAGAAAGCCGACAAAGCATGTGGGCTGCTGTGGCAAAGAGCTGGCTTTGAAAGGCAGGTTTGTGCCAGTCCTCCAGCTAGTGCTGGTGAGCATCTCCCTGCAGTTGGAGCTTGGGTGGACGGCAGGCAAGGTCAAAATGAGCCTGAGGATGAGGAACCAGATCCAGACTTGAAATAAAACATGTTCTCTTGCCCAGGCAGTACTCCAAGATCCAGACAATGCCCTTTGTGGTATTAGCTGATGCTTGCAAAAGGCTCTAACTCATACCAAGACCTGAAATGCACCCAAGGACAACATACCAGGAGCTGGTTTGTGTCAGCCCGTCCTGTCAGATCTAACTAGCTCCCACTCCCAAAATCACACGCTATTCACACGCTTAGCTCTCTAATATTACCATGTCCGTGTACTTCAGGGTGTTTTACTCAAATTTACAGTTGACCAGATCTCATTGCATGAGAGAGAAACTGTTCTCACCGCTGGAAAACAAATTGCCGTGCCTAAAAAAAGCACCTAAATGTCCTCAGAGCCAGTGGGCACCCACCAACACGTCCCAAAAATGATTCATCCCCCTCTGCTGGGTGATGGAGCTGACAGCCTTCCCCAGAGGTTTACTTTAAGGGGAACTGAGGCAATGGGCAAAGAAAAGAGCTGAGCATCTTCCATGTGATTGGAACTAAGCGAGGCTGAGCATGTGCGGTTGCCTGGGCCCCTTTGGAAAGGTTGAGATTTCCTTTGCTACAACAGAAAATTAGGGATTTGGGGAGCTGGCTACATTTTATCCCTGTTTTCATGTCTAGTGCAGTCATGAGCTATACTTTTTGCTATTTACAGGTGATATTTTAGGAAGCCCAAGGGCTCAGACCATGGCTCCATGACAGTGCATGAGCAAGTCCTGTGCTAAATGCCAAACCTGTGTTCAAGAAACTCAACGTGAATAGAGGTAACCAAGATCAAATTTTGCTGCTCTATGTTCATTTTGCAAACTGCAAGAGGAGCCCAGTGCAAGCACAAGGCATGCACCACAGAGCCCAGCCCCTCTGAAATCAATTTTCTTGTCTGTTGACCTACAGAGCGCAATCTCTTACTTGTTCTTGAAGTCCTCCACCATGTCTTGCATGCTCCGCAGCTCCGAGTCCAGCCGTCCCCTCTCCCCCATCAGGCTGTCCAGCTGCCGCCTCAGGTTGTTGATGTAGGACTCAAAGAGGGGCTCCAGGGACTTCCTGGTGACCGTGTGGCCCTGCTCTTGCAGGAGGCTCCATTTGGTCTCCAGCACTTTGTTCTGCTGCTCCAGGAAACGCACCTAGGGAAACAAAAAATGACTGTAACCCACCAGAAAGAGAAGAGGGAGAGCATGGAATGAGGATCTTCCCACAGGAATTCAGGGCACTGAATTCTCCAAAGAAGCACAAACAGCTTAGGGAGAATTTTCAAGAGTTATCAAGCTGCCAAGCATCCGCGTTTGCAATTCTACGTGTTTCTCCCTGCACTGGATGCTCAGCCCTCCTTAATGGTTTAAACTGGTGGTATCTTGTGGAGGAACTTTGCCCCTTCACAATCCATGAAGGATCCACACAGTGCCTGGGCAGTTTTTTAGGCAAAGGGGGATTTGCTATGTCAGCAAAACGAGGCTCTGGAGATCTTGTCCTTGCAAAGAGCATAGGACAATTCTTAACATTCAGCCAAGCACGGATTAGTTCAGGCAAGCCCTGAATCCAAAGAAAGCTCTTCCTGCTGTTCTTTCCTGAGGCAAAAGGGAATGTGCCCGGGCTGAGACCCAGCTCTCACCTTGTCGATGAAGGAGGCGAATTTGTTGTTGAGGGTCTTGATCTGCTCCCTCTCATGTGTCCGCACCTTCTGGATCTCAGGGTCAATGTCCAGCTTGAGGGGTGCCAGCAGGCTCTGGTTGACAGTCACTTCGTGGATGCCACCGGGTGGGCAAACGGGGAACCCGGGGCCGCCACGACCACCAAATCCAGTACCTCCCATCCCAAATCCTCCCAGCCCATAGCCACCACCGCCACCAGCTCCTCCTAAGCCCAAAGCAGCACCTGCTCCTCCACCATAGCCTAGACCAAAGCCAGATCCTCCACCAAAGCCGTATCCAGCTCCACTCCGCAGCCCTCCGCCAAGGGAGATTCTCTTGCTTCCACCCAGGTTATAGAGACTTCTGCTGCCAAAGCCGCCACCAGCTCCGAAGCCTCCTCCGCCTCCAGCTCTTCCTCCTCCAACTCTGGAGACAGAGACGGAGCTGAAGCTGCTCCGCGTGCCACTGCCACCTCCCACGATAGCAGAACCTGAGCTAAAGCCCCTCATGCCCCCTCCGGTGGAAGATCTGTATGAGATCCGGCTCATGGCTCGTGCAGTTGGAAACACAAAGAGCAGGAACGAGGGAAAGAGCTGGTGATAGAAGCTGAGCAGCAGCAGAGCAGCAGAGGGCAACGGAGACAGAAACCCCTGTGATGGGAGAGCCTGGGAGCCTCCTCTTTTATCTGCTTGGAAAACTTGGCACGGGGATTCAGAACTTGACGTGCCTTGCAGCAACTTGCCTTGTCAAACACACCTAGGCTATGGCGAGGCGCTGAAAAATGCATTGTTTGCAGGCAAGAAAGTAACGGAGCAAGGGAGCTCCCCCCACCCTCAGAGCCCTGAGTCACCGAAGGAGAACTGGACGGGATCGGTACGAGCAGGACGCGGCACGAAGCTCCCAGAGCCCCAGGAGATCCTGTTCTCTATGCCAAGCTCACCCGTTGGAGCAAGATTCCCTGCTCTGAAGTGAGGGGAAATTTGGGATTGAGCACACTGAATGCAAAAAAATAAAAATAATAGAGGCTGATGTCCCCAGGACCACCTGGTATGGGGTTGTGTTGTGTTACATGGTGACCAAATGGGGGCTGATGTCCCACAGACCACCTGATTTAGGGCTGTGTTGTGTTACATAGTGAAAAAAATGGGGGCTGATGTCCCCAGTACTGCCTGATTTGGGGTTTTGTGCCCCAGGGAGAGCTGGCAGCGGGGGAGGAGGATCTCCTTCCCAGCTCTGTACTTTTGGTTCCTCTTGGAAAAGAGCTCTGAAGGATCAGGGGCTGAGTGGGAGGTGTCTGCTGGTTGTTTTAGCAAAAATCTGTCTCTCCATTGCAGGAGGAACAGAGAAATCAACAGTTGTTGTTTTCAAAGACAGCAAGGGACTCACCTTTCCAAAATAACATGAAACTGCATTAAATTGTGTGCTGACCCCTCTAAAGAGGATATTACAGAGCTACTGGGGAGTTGTTCTTGTTCCGAGCCTTCCAGCCAACTGAGGGCTCAGAAGTTCCCTAGGAAGCTGTTTTGTATTGCTCCCCCCATTTTGGCCCTCAAACCCGCCGTTTCCACGTCACTGCGCTCAGCAGAGGGGAACTTACCACTTTCTCCCCCATCTCCCTCCCACCCCTCCCTCGCTCTGCTGAGATCATCTCCGATGGTTTTCTCCTTGATCCTGAGCTGAGGTTGAACCCGCCCTGCAGTGGGGCTTTGGGATGGTGCAGGAGCAATGGATGGCATCTCTTCTCGTGACCCCAAAGGGATGAGTTGCACATCCCCCACCCACCCAAACCCATCTGCAACGCAGACCCAGCCCAGCTGCCATCCGTGTGCCAGATAAACCAACAGCACACAGCAGAGAGATAAAGCTGAATCAAAGAGATTTTAAAAAATTGGCTACGTGAGCAATAAGTACGGAACATAATCCAGGATGAGTCGCTCCAGGGTATCTGCGGCATCTCATGGCTTGTTTCTGTTGATGTGTTTCCAGCTGCCGTTTGTTCTGTCTGGGAACTTGAAAGAACCTGAGCAGAAGGGATTTTTGATTTATTTATTTTATTTTGTTTTGCTTTGTTTTATTTATTTCCTTGCTGCAATCATAAAAGCGCTCCCAACCCTCATCCATGCCATCCACTGCGTGATGCCAAAGATGTGAGTCATGGGCATGGAGCGCACTGGGGTGAGCAAAAGGAGTGGGGCCAGGCTGTAGCGAGGGGGTGCTCTCAGCTCAGGAATGGAGGCACTGAAAACACCAAATCTTTGCAGGAAAACCTAGCCCACACCCACCTATCCCGAAGCTGAAGGAGCTCTGATTTCACAGCGATGCACAGCGACTGTAGAATCCAATCCTAACGCCAATTCCAGGAATGCTGCCGGGGCTATTGACATGAAATAAATCGTGCTGGGAGAACAGCACGTGTGCAGAGGTTGGGTTCCTGGTGGATGGGTCCATCGCTGCAGATGGAGCCATGGACAGGGGCCAAGCAGCAGTGCAGGGAGCATGCCTTTGGCTCCTAGAGCTATGCAAAGTCACACCTGGGAACCAAGCACAGTGTTGTAATTAACACAAAAAGAAAAAGGCTTCATGGCAAGGCAAGGCACTCATTACCTCCCAGCTCTTCTAGGAAAGCCTGTTGCTGCAGACAGTGGTAATTAAGTGGAATATTACAAAGGGCTCCATGAGCTGGTTAGGCACAGAACTCGAGGAGAATTCTTGCAGTGTCTCACTCCTTGCTCTCTCTGTAGCTGCCCAGGGCTTCTGCGTTTGCCCCCTTTGGGCATCCCCACCTCCTTTCCTCCCTTTTTGGCCCTGTCTGTTTTTCCTTCCTTTTTTTTTTTTTTTTTTTTTTTTCTTTTTTTATTCTCCTAGGCATAAAAGACGCTCGCAGTGTAAGGTGAGCTGAGGTTAGGTCATCCTTAGCTGCATTAACTCCCACCACGCTCTGCAGAATCTCTGCAGATTCTATCCTTAGCACAGGGCGCACAACCCGAGATGACTCACCATTTATTTTTAACCTTTGTTCATTTTTGGTCTCTTTGCCCCAAACACCATCCTCTGTGAGGGCCGAGAAGAGGGGATTTTCCTCCAGATTTTGGTCTCTTTCACTGCAGCTCCTTTGATTTTTGGGTGGTGCTTCTGCACTCGGTGCTGCCGGATCCTGGCGAGGTTTTGGGCGCACGCGCCTGCCCTGGGGATGGAGGGGGCAGAGCGAAGCGTCTGGCCCTTTGAAATGCAATAAGCCGTGAGGGTTTGTCTGAGGGTTCTTTTTTTCTTTTCTCTTCTTATTTTTTTCTCCTTCCCCTTTTACAATCACCAAACCTGCAGGCATCATAGGCTGCTCTGCTCCATCACCAAAACCACCCTCAGCGCAGATTGTCCTGATGACATCCTCCCCCAAAGCCCTGCGCTCCGTGTCCCTTGAGAAAGCCAAAATTAAACAGTGTGTGACCTTTATTTCTCCTGTTTTCACTTTTGCCTGAGCTTTTAGAGCTGTCCCAAACCCTCTTTTCTGGAAGAAAGGCCTTTGAGTTAATCCTAAATGATCCAAGAAGAAAACAATGCCTGATTATTTTTTTTTTGTCCCCCTTCCTCCCCTTTTCCCATACGCCTCGATTCAGTTTCAGACAGCACGCACCTGATTTCAAGCATTTAATTGCATTTTCCTTTTCAGTTTTGAAACTTTTTCCCTAAAGTGAAACCAAATCCTCACCCCATTCAGTTTTCTGCAGGCTCATTCTGCTGGTTCTGCTTTGGAAGAAAAGCACTCAGGAACAAATACATTACAGTTGTTTTATTGGACACGTTCCCAAAAGAGAGGGGAAGGAAAACACAGCATTGTTTTGCTACCGTTGAAGTATAAAAAGCTGCAAATTTCTTTGGTATTTTCATCAAAATAAAGGCAGAGTGGAGCACTACAGGGGCAGATCCCATCAGAAAGGGGCACCTTTGGCACCTGCTCCCGATTGCCACATTTTCCATGGGTTGGGCTGAGATATGAACGCATTTTTTTATCCAAATGCATCTCTTTTGGCCCAGAAACGCATACCCCATGGAGCGGATGAGGTCCCCCTGGAGCAGCATGGACGTGGCCCTCTGTGTGGATTTTTGCAGGGATCTTTTGTCTCAGCAGGCTTTTACCTTGATTGCTGCTGCTGACACCATGGGGGAAGTCAGTGAGGTTTGGGCGTTGGGGTGATCTCAGCACTTTTTAAGCCATTTCCACAAAACCTAGCATGAAGCAAGACAATAACCCAATGTAACTGCAAAGGCTGATCTGCTGAAAACCTCTGTGTTCTGGTTATTTTTTAAAACAATCCCAAAAATCTGATAATTTAGGGAACAAGGTCTTTCTCACCTGCTTGGGATCCATCAGAGGAGACCAAATGCACCTGCAAGGTTACATGCAAGGTGCTGCTATGGGGCAAACATTTATTTGGGAAGAGAAAGGACAGAAGTGAGAGTGGTTCAGGGTTCTGTGGACATCTCAGGGATCTTTCCAGATGCTGTGTGGTTGCTCAGCACATCTGGAAGCAATGCACTTTTCAAAGCTCGGCCACAGGTGGGGAAAAGAGGGATATTTTCCATCAAACTCAGTGACTTAGAAGTGTCTCCTCATGTGTTGCCATTGGAAGAGGTGTCTTAAGAGGAGCACTGAGCTTGCAAACCACTGCCTGGGATCTTTCAGAAGCCTCCCAGAGTGTTTCTGCATAGCAGAAAATCCCCTCACAGATGTATGGAGATGTGTGAAGATGAGTTACTTGACTTGAAAGGATGAGTTTGATTTGTTCCAGCAGCCTGGGAGAAGCCATGGGAGAAGGGAGAAGCAGCCTGGATGGAAGCCATGTTCCCAGCCCATCCCTGGGCTTCTGCAGGCCAGAACAATGAATGTAAAACCCAGTTACTGCGTCTGAGCTGCTATTTGATCTGTGCTGCTGAGGGCCATCAGCTAGCCGCAATTACAGGCTGCTCACCCTCATTAAAAAAAAAAAAAATAATAAAAAATTCCCCATTCCAAAAATCTTGTAGACCTGTGTTTTCCTTTGAAACCTGTTTTGGTGCTTCAAGTTAGCTCGTGCTCGCTGCTTTCCTGAGGTGGAACCCAAATGCTTAAGAACTACAGCAGAGAGGTGATGGGTGCGGGAGCGGTACGGGAGTGATGCAGCAGCGATGGCTTTGGGGGAAGGGGTCTGGCAGCATCACTTTACTCGGGTTGTGAGGCATTCTTCAGGCTTTGGCTCTTTATGCTCTTTTTGCTGGAGGAAGTTTTGGAGACGATTTTCACACCCGGATTGGTGCCTTTTGCGCTCCCAGAGCTGAAATTCCCTCCTGCAGAACTCAGCCCAATTCCGCTGCTGCCTCCTCCAAGCCCAAGCCCGCTGCCACCTCCATACCCACCTCCGAGACCACCCCCACCTCCAAGTCCAAGTCCTCCTCCGCTTCCAAAGCTGTAGCCTCCACCACCTCCTCCAAGACTGTATCCGCTTCCACCACCTCCTCCAAGACTGTATCCGCTTCCACCACCTCCTCCAAGACCGTATCCGCTTCCACCACCTCCTCCAAGACCGTATCCGCTTCCACCACCTCCTCCAAGACCAAATCCACTTCCACCGCCACCTCCACTTAGGCTCAGTCCACCAAATCCTCCTCCTCCACCAGCTGTGCCAGAGCTGGAGCTGATCACCGCTGCAAGGGAAAAACAGACAGAATGTTGGACATCTAATCTGGTGGTCAGCCAGTTCCAGAAAGCACCACCATCAAGGCTTGGACCCATAGGGCCTGAACCCAACTTCTGTCCCCAAGTCACTAAGGGTTCTGGTAGGTTCTGAATGTCTTATATGGAGCAGTTGGGTAAAACCTCTCTTTTCCTTTACTCTCAATGGGCCCAAGGAAGACATGCGCTGTGGTACTTACAGTAGCCGATGGGGTTGAGTCCTTCTCCACTCAGCCTGTTGGAGGGCAAATAAAGGGGACATTAGAGCAAAATGCAAATGCGGGCAAGGGGACTAACACTCTCAGAGTGGAAAAGTTACATTTGCTATTTATTTCTGCAGGGATTCTGCTCCCACCTGCTCTCCTCGCCTTCCAGCAGCTTTCTGTAGGTCGCGATCTCAATGTCCAGGGCCAGCTTGACATTCATCAGCTCCTGGTACTCACGCAGCTGCCGGGCCATATCGGCTTTGGCTTTCTGCAGGGCATCCTCCAGCTCCATCATCTTTGCCTTGGCATCCTTGAGAGCCAGCTCTCCACGCTCCTCAGAGTCTCCAATGGCTGTTTGCAGGGTGGCACACTGCAAGAGGACAACAGAGAATCCTGACTTCTGCTTTTCTGTTTGGGTAAGAGTAAGACAACACAATTCCTGGAGAAGCTGTGGGTGTTCCTTCCCTGGAGGTGCTTAAAACCATGGATGAGTCCCTGGGCCGCTGATGGAGGGAGGAGTGGCACCAGTCCATGGCTGGGGGTGGGACAGGGGATTTTGAGGTCCCTTCCAACCCAACCATTCTGTGATTCTATGAGCTTTAAGGTCCCTTCCAACCCAACCATTCTATGGTTCTGTGATCTTTAAGGTCCCTTCCAACCTAAGACATTCTGTGATTCTATGATTCAGTGAAGGAAGAAAACCATTCTGGCTGGGGTCTTCATGAACAATGGTTATGGCTGAGGTCAGTCAGCCGTATGTGACAGTCCTGCAGTTGCAAAGCCAGCCTGGCTTGATGCATGACACAGCAATACCCTTCCAGGTACATCATGCTCTGTGGCTGCTGGTGTCTCTGTTCAGCACATGGTGGCAGAGAGCAGAGCTGTAATGCTTAGGGACACCAGAATGGGGCTCTTTTTCCATTCCTACCTGGTTCCTTGTGTTCTCTATCTCTGCTCGGATCCTCTGGATGAGCCGGTTGAGCTCAGAAATCTCCCCCTTTGTGTTGCGCAAGTCATCCCCATGCTTCCCAGCCGTGGCCTGCAGCTCTTCATACTGCAGTTCAGAAGAGGAAACATTCAGAGATGTCCAGGTGGCTCAGACAACCTCACGCAGGGACAGCAATAATTCTTCCCACAAGTACACCTACAAGCATGCTCACCTTGGTTTGGTACCAAGCCTCCGCCTCAGCCCGGCTGCGGTTGGCAATGTCCTCATACTGTGCTTTGACTTCAGCTATGATGCTGCTGAGGTCCAGGTCCCGGTTGTTGTCCATGGACAGGATGACAGCAGTGTCAGACGTTTGTGTGCTGAGCTGAGCCAGCTCCTGTAGGGAAGCACATGGGAACCCAGCTACACTTACCTTGAAAATGCCATCTGTAGTGGCTGTCACTGCCTGCGAGTGATGACAGAACAGTCAGGGGAGGAGGGTGTCTGTACCGCCTCGTAGAGGGCTCGGAGGAAGTTGAGTTCATCAGTCAGAGCATCCACCTTGGCCTCCAGCTCCACCTTATTCATGTAAGCAGCATCCACATCCTGGAAAAGAACAGCCGTGGGGACATCTGCAGCGCCTGTTATCTCTTCTTTGGCTCTACCAAGATTTTGTCAGTCTCAGGGACAGGCTGCTGCAGTGGTAATGCATGACTGGAGAAGCTGTGGTTGGCACATGCTCCTGGAAGGCCACCATGAGAACATCTCTTGGCCAAGAGAAGTGCTGGGTGTTACCTTGCTAGAGGATAAGGACAGCATGCAGTCCATCTGGCCTTGGGACATGCATTTCCCAGCATTGCTCAGCATCTTTATATCTACATGATCTATTCTGCTCAAGCAAGCATGAATGCATAGTTTGGTGTCAAGAGTTGACTTTCATCCTCCTTCAGCTCCTTTCCTTCCTTTCTCCTAAAACCATAACACCACTTTAAAAGATGAGGGTGCATCTCTATGAGATCTCCTATCTGTTACTGCACTTTTTGGGATGGCTTGGCATTCATACAATTCATCTCACCCACCTTCTTCAGCACCACAAATTCATTCTCTGCTGCTGTGCGTCGATTGATTTCCTCTTCATACCTACAGGGATAAAGTAAAGGGGCAGCTGTGCTAGGTCACACCTCGGCAAGCACAGCAGCTGTACAGGTGGGACTGCAAGATGATTTGAGTTGCGAGTGACATTTTACATAAAGCAGCTTGAGATGATTTTCATTTGCAAGTTTCATCACAAGTTGCCACGTCCTGGCTGAACCTGCGTTTTCTGCTTGGAGAAATGTTGCTGGAGCACTCTTCTGCCATGCCAGGCAGCAAGGGCTTTGAAGGGAGAGGCACGGCATGAGAGCCATGCTTTACAGGGAGGTTCGTCCGGTCTCATGTTATGGACTAAAGCACTTTTTTCCCCTTTCTCATAGAAAGTTTGATGAATATCTCAGGCTAGATGTTTGTCCTTGAGAAAACTAGTTCTAAGTGAGACTAATCCTACTGCCTAATGCTAAGCTGAACCATTTGCATCACATTTCACCCCAGGCTGCGGGGATGTGCCACCAAACAGGCACTCACTTGTTCTTGAAATCCTCAACAAGGTCTTGCATGTTCTTCAGCTCCCCGTCCATGCGTCCTCTCTCGCTCAGCAGGTTGGCCAGCTGCCGCTTCAGGTTATTGATGTAAGCCTCAAAGAGTGGGTCCAGGTTGTTCTTGCCTGTGCTGTTTTTCTGACTCTGGTCCTGCAGGAGGGTCCATTTTGTCTCCAGCACCTTGTTCTGCTGCTCCAGGAAGCGAACCTGGGCATTGGGAAGTAAAAGGGGTTAGCAGAAGATAAATGCCGATGGCCAAGAGTCAGTAACTGGGACTGATGCACAGCACAGACACAGTAAATCCCAAACCAGGAGCATTAAGTCCAGTTATCAATATCACCTGGACTATCTAGGGCTATGTTAGCCTATCCAGTAGCCAAGCAAACTTCCCATTGATGGACAGTTCTAATGAGAGACAGTGTAATTCAGCAAGCTGGTGAGCAATCATCACAAAATGTGGGTTCAGCTCCTTCACCACTTGCTTGCTTTAAAATCTTTTTTTCCTTCTTTGTAGGTGATATTTATCTTCCTTCATTAAAGCTAAGATCTGAGCACTTCAAGACAAGTCAAAGGCAGTTAAGTTGCCTTGCCTCTTGCTCATTTACACTATATATAAGGTACTTGTCCAAGGAAAAGCTAAGAAAGGACTTGAGCTTATGCAAAAAGGGCTTCAGCTTGTAGGCAGTAAAACTGGACATAAGGACCCACACTTCTGCTATAATACCCCACAGAGACAGCTTGCTTAAGCAACTGGCTTTACTAATATTTGAACTAGCATGTCTTATTTTCAAGGAACAAAACCTGAATCTAAGCCTCTAGTTTTCAGTATCTCATTTTCTGCCTTATAGCTGTCGAGAAGTATATCACTTTTTGACATATATTTAGGAAACATGCAAGAGACTGAAGATTCCTGAAGCCGTATTTTTGTAGATACAGCTCTGTCTTTCTCCCTCTTACAGTTCCACAGCACTTGATGACACCTCACCTTGTCAATGAAGGAAGCAAACTTGTTGTTGAGGGTCTTGATCTGCTCCTTCTCCTCCTTGCGCACCTGCTGGATGTTGGGGTCGATCTCCAGGTTGAGGGGTGCCAGCAGGCTCTGGTTGACTGTCACTTCTTGGATGGTGCCCATGCCAGGAGGGCCACCAAAACCCAAGGGAGCCCTGCCACCACCCAGCCCTCCAAGTCCCCCCATGCCTCCTGCTCCACCAAAGCCAAGCCCGCCAGGACCTCCACCAAAGCCATAGCCACCACCACTACCTCCGCCTCCACCAAGACCAAGTCCAAGGCCACCGCCACCTCCGCCACCACCAAGACCAAGTCCAAGGCCACCACCCCCTCCACCACCACCAAGACCAAAGCCACCACCGCTGCCACCTCCCAGGCCAGATCCACCACCTCCAAAAGCACTCCGGAAGCTGCTTCCAACACCAAAGGAAATCCTCTTGGAACCACCGAGGCTGTAGAGGCTCCTACTGCCAAAACCTCCACCACCACCGCCACCTCCTCCTCCTCCAAGGAGCCTTCCAAAGCCACCACCACCTCCTCCAGATCGTGACACCGACACCGAGCTAAAGCCAGCCCTGCTGCCCCCAGGAACGATGGCTGAAGCAGCGCTGTACGACCGCCCTCCACCCCCAGCTCTGGTGCTGTACGTCTGCCGGCTCATGGCAGCAGCTGGTCACAATAAAGAACAGCAATCTGTGAGTGGGCAGCTCTGTGAGAGGAGCAAGCAGGGGGAGGCCCTTTTTATCCCCCTGAGGATCTGGGCTTGGTTGCATGGAAGTCCAGAGATCAACTCAGAGCCTTCATGGTTTTGACGTGCCAGGCAGCCAGCTGTCTGATTGAAACTTGTTAAACTGATTGCACCCAAACACACCTCTTGGAGACAGCATGAAGCTGCTCAGCTAGAAGCATTACCTAACCGATTTCTGGCAAGAATCACTCAACCTTACTGCAAAGCATGCTTGCACAGATGCCTTGTTTTATTTCATCCCTACGAAGCAAAAGAAAGGAAACAAAAAAAAGATGAAGAAGAGAAATATCTACCCAGATACCCCTGCCTTATTTAAGATGCAGTAGATCACCAAAGAGCTTAGTGGAGATTCCTCCAAAGTAGCTCTAGTGAAAGGCACTGAAATTAAAATGAGTAAAGCTGAAGGTAAATATTGCATGGGACTTTGCTGCATGAAGGCACAGTGAGGGAGTGATGTTCATGAGGACTGACACCTCCTCAGGGCTCTGACTTCTCCTGTCGTCTTTGTTCACACTCGTCAGGCAGAGACCCAATCTGAGCTGATCCAGACCCAAGCACAGAGAGATCCAATCCATCATTTGCCTTTGAGTTGCTGCATTTCAGTGTCATCTCACATTTTGGTCATTTAATGCCAGGTATTTCATCTGTGGCAAGTTTTCTGCGATGCATTTCTGGCGATACTAGCAAATCCATCAGACAGCTCCATCCACCCAGAGGTGTCCATTCCACTGCTCCCAGCCTACAGGTGATGTTGTGATGCATTTGCACCTCAACCTAAAAACGTGCCAATGAAAGAGGCAAATTTTCTGAAAAAATATTTTGCCCAAATTTGTGGAACTGTGTGATTTGCATGCTTAGCACTAGGAGCAATCGGTCTTGAGTTTCTAGCTCTCTTACAGGCTGCAATTGCTTTAAAAGATCTTTGAACCTTTCAAAATGCTGCCAAAAGCAAAGATTTAACTGGCATGAAAAGAATCCTCCCACAAATTCTGGTTATTTTACTTTCTGAAGTCCTTGGGAAAAAAGAGCAAAGCCGGCAGGGTGTGGTGGCACTTTCTGGCCTCTCAGTTTTTAGGGAACTGTGGTGTTTACAATATTTTGTTCTTCAAATTAAAGTTTTCAGCTTGTTGTTCTGGTGGATATCCCATGCTGTGTGCATGACTGGTGCTTAAACATCTGCTTCTGCATTTGCAGGACAGGATTCCACATGCTCTGTGCAATATGCTCATGTGCCCCAGCACTGCAGAGCTGTTAAGCATGAGCTGAGGTCCCACTGGAGGAGAAATTAAGCAGGTGCTTGGTGTTCTGCTGCATACATGAGACCACATCTGCAATTATCCCTGGAGAAATGCTGCCAGTTGGGCTCTGACCAAGGGAGTTGGTTGCTCACACTGAATTTCCCACTGAAATTCTTGGGCTGGAGCGCATTGGGCTGCTCACTGGGCTGAAGCAACCTGAGATACTACTGAAATCCACAAACACCCATTGCCTTCATTATTTGCATAAAATTCAAAGCCTCCGTGTGATGGGAAAATTAGATTGTCTTCATACTGGCTTGACCCCAGTGAAGGCTGATTGTCCTGAAGCTGACAAACGGGTTCGGATCAGATATTATAGCTGAATGAATATAATGGCATTAAGGGTGCGGCCGCCAGAAGAAAGAGGGAATTGTCAGCTGGGGCTCCCACACTCTTCTCCCTTCAGCCCACTGTCTGCAAGGCATGTGAGCGATGCGAGGGCTGGAAGAAAGGCCCCATTTCTTGTTGGTCGTGGGCTCCACACCCAGATGTGGCTTTTCACATCTGTCCCTTCAGATCAGCTCCCACAAAGGTTCACATCCTTTGCAGGAGTGACATCCTGCAAGATTTAGCCCCAAAAAAGCCCCCAAAATCCTACACCTGGACTCCTGACCTTTTCTTCTCCTTCAGGAAAGCAGCCATGGCTTTTGCAATAGATAGAGTTGAGAAGGGCAGAGTTGATGAAAGGTTTTTACCCAGAAATGTGAGAGATGCCAGGCTGCTTTGGTACCATGGGGAGCAACTGGTTGGTGGTGCAGTTTTTCTTTGCAGGGAAGTGATCGACGTAAACTATGAGCTGCTGGGGCACCAGCACCTTGTTTGGATGTTTTACATATGAACAAGATGGAGTCCAAGTTGTGAACACTGAATCAGAACAGCCATAGATAACCATTTGGGAAGATACTGTCTTTAGCTGGGTGGGTTTTGCCTTTTCTGCAAGGGATAATTATTTTGGATTCCACCACTCCACAGCCCAGATTTCTGCTCAGCCATGCAGTTCACTAAAAATTAGTCAGCCATCAGCTCCAAGGTGAGCACATCCCATAGAACCTCCTTGCTTCCCAGCAGAAAATCCCTGCAAGACACAGCAAGCCCAAATGCAACATGAGGGCAGCAGAGGTGGTTACCCCTGGTGGAAACTATGGGCAGATCAAGTCTGGATGGTTTTGCTTCCCCAACTGTGGAGTGAGATGCAGGAAGGATGGGGCAGACAAGCCATGAGTCAGCAGTGAAGCCAATGAAGTGGAACGGGAAATAAATTGCAACACTCACTCCTCTTCAGTTTGCATTATAAAGGTAAATTAACCTGCCTGCACCCTGATCTGCTTCCAAATGGGTTTCTCCAAAGGGGAACTCAAAGCAGAGATGTCCTGGGGGGGTTTAGTGGAACCCAGGAGAGTGGGGGGAAGGAGGGGGCCATGGTGATGGCTGATTTGTCCTCATCCAGGTATGCATCCAGCTGTGCCAAGCACCCACACAGCAAACTATACCAGCTGTCCTGTGAGATTTTCCAGGAGGCACCATGCATTTGGGAATGGGGAGATGGGAAGAAGCGATGTTCCCTCCACACCTCTGGGAGATGGGAAGGAACAAAGCCCCTCTGTGCACCCATGGGAGATAGGAAGAAGCAATGCTCCTCTATTAACTGATGGGAAGATGGGAAGGAACAGTGCAATCCCTCTGCACCCGTGGGGATGGCAGTTTTCCCCGCATCCAGCTGTGCATCCAGCTGTGCTGTGGGGACCTTCCAGGGGTACGGTGCCTTGGGAACAGGAGCCCAGCACAGAGCAAAGGGTTGGGGAGCCTGAAATCACCCAATCTCAACTGCCTAAAAGGGCACTGAGGGCTCATCCTTCCCTGTGCATCCTGCAGACCCTGGTGCAGGCTGTGCTTTAAAGGCATGGTGCTTGAGGACACCATTGGTGCTGTGCTTTGCAAAGACAGACATCCGTTTCATTTAGAAATCAACCTGCTCTTGTGAGAGGGTTTCAGGGGTGGGGTGTGGGATTTTTTTTTTTTTTTTTTTGGGCCGATTGTTTTAAACAAGGTTCTGCCTGCCTTGTGTTCTGCCTGCAGCGTGTGAGATCCCAATGTCCCAAGTGAAGCTGTGCATTTGCTCACCTCTGGTGGAACAGGGCTATGCAAAAATGCATGGGGAAGGAGAGCAGGCAGCGTCTAAGGACTTAGTTAAAACTTTGCAAACTACAAACTCCACCCATTTGGAGGTTCATGTCTGAGAAGACATCGCTGCTTTGGTAATGTTGGGAGGGAAATGAAACCTGTGGAGCGCGGCTTGAATAATGCATGTAGTTTATTGAAGGTACAGCTGAAAGTCTGGAGTAAGCGAAGGGTAATCAACTGTTCACTTACACATTAAAAGCGTTAAATCCGTCTATCTGGTACACACACAGGAAAAACAATGCATGCATTTAACTACAGAAATATAAGGTGCTCGTCGGCGTGTAATTAAAATCTGCTCTACCAAACCTGGTGTAGCAACTTGGGCCCATTTACATAACCATTACCAACCCTCTCGTAAACAGGAAAAATTGGATTTTCAGGTGTCATTAAAGGAGCTAAATAATAGATGTGGCTTCATCTGGGGCAGTGTAAGATGTGGCTGCTCTTTCTGATGAGCAAATTTTTTGTTCTTTTGCAATTGCTGTGTGAGGGTACAGGAAATCTCTTGAAAAAGGGGCTGAGCAGAAAGAGCCACGAAGGCAGCAGACTGAAATGCAAATCTCGCCTGCCTGAGACCTGGGGGTCCGCTGACCCCCAGAGCACCATGTGAGAGAAGGTGGGTGGTGACCATTCAAAAAAACCACCATGTTTCTGGCAGAGCTACCGACCTTACTGCGTGTGCAATGCATGCTTGTGTGATTCAGCTGTGAGAAGGAAGGGGAATACTGTTTTACTGCAGAAATGCTGATTCTTTCTCAATACAATGCGGTTCTGCCCACCTACCGGCTCGTTCTGACCACGCGCACGGCCGTGCTGTACCGGCTGCCCCCTCCACACACCCCCGCCCCTGGGATTATGACAGCCCCAGGGCTGCACTGCTCCACTCCAGCACACACCAGGTTGCCCACACCGGCTGCACACTGCAGCCCATCGGCACCGGGCAGCACCTCGCGCCCCACACAGCTGGCTGCACTCCGGGCCCCAAAGCCACCCCCCACTCTGGGGACGCAGTCCACGCTGCGAGCACTGAACCCAGCACCGCTGACCCCAAAGGATGAGACCACCCCACCCAGCCCCGAGCTGGCTCCGGTCTTCACAGAGCATTTGCCACCGATTCCGGATAGGGATCGGCACTCACCGACCGTGCCGCCGCCGCTGACCACGGCTGCAGGAAGAGAAGGGTCTGGTCACTGCTGAGCAGCACACAGGTAGGTTGTGTGAAGTGTAAAAGGGAATGAAAGGGGTTACGGGCTTACAAAGGGAGGTGCTTGGTCGGCTTACCTACGCTCACAGGGTTGCCAGTGCATATCCTGTAAAAAACAAAGCAACGTCTCAGAGATGTGCTTAAGGGGATGCTCCTCAGATATGCATGCACATGGAGATGCTGCCCAGTCTTAGAAATCCTGGGGGTACTTCAGTTTGTCTGTGTTCCCA